AGAGCTACGATCGTACATGGGTGCCAATGGCGAGAGCTACGAAGGCAGCTGGGTCGACGGACTCCGAGACGGGAAAGGCCGCGGCGTCTTCCCCGACGGCGTCGTCTACGATGGCATGTGGAAAGCGAACCGCCCGAGCGTACGCGCTGCTCCATTACGATAAAGTACTCACTATGCAGTCAAATCTCCAGATCGCTCGTGTGGCCTCGTGATCTCCCGACTCGGGTCGGACTATACGACCGTGGACCCGGCGCCGTTGGTGTTTCGAGAGGACAAGCCGACTGAGCCTGTGCCGCCGAGCGACGATAGCAGCGTCGAAGCGCCGCCGCCGCCCGAGCCCAAGCGACTGCCGGCGTTTCGCATCGACTGCATCGACGCACCGGTTCAAGCGCGCACGACCAACCAAGCGGTTTGTTGCCATCCTCCTAGGTTCTTATTTGGATCGGCAACTACTGTACAGGGGACGTGTGTCGTCGAGGAGTCGGGGCGGCAACTGCGCATGCTGCTTTTCGCTGGCAAAGTTCCCGGCGCGACCGAGCCCGACGTGGTGGCCGAGGTGCCGAGAGGAAAGAAGCCGCCCGCGGTCGTCGCGCCGCCCCCGACGTCGCGCCCGACGTCCCACCGCTGCCTCTGCCGCTCTTGACGCTGAGCGACGACAAGACACCGATCGACGAGCACGCGATGGTGACCGAACACGGCGGCACGCTGGTGCCAGCCATCTTTGCGTTGCCGATCGGCCTCGCGCCGGGCGACTATTTCGTGTTTGTCGAGAGCGCGCTCGACACGTCCATGCCGCCAGCCTACTACCCGATTACACTTGCGAAATTGGACGATCCGTCGGACAAATCGTCGTTCAAGAACGCGCCCAAGAAGAAATAAGGGTTGAACATTTTACAAAAATTGTTTTAAAATGAGTTGGACGTTGACATACAAAAATGACTAAATGAAATAGAGTATACCGGTACCGTGGGGAGTGAACCCTAAACCTTATCAACAACACCAGCTCTTTGATCGACACCCTTGATCTTTGAACGCTTAATAAACGCTTAACGCTTTGTATGTCTACAAGACCACGATGACGCGCTGTGTGCACCAGCCCCAACACGAGACCACGCATACATTGGATTCCATCCAAAAATCCACCGACTGGATAGGTTGGATCGATTAGATACGTGATATGTACGACTAGGCAGGCGGCGACGCCAACTTGCAAAAATGACGTCGCCTGCATCAACATCTGTCTGGCCCAAAGCGGCCGCCATCTCGAGCTTGAATTTGCGCGAGTGGCTCGAGAAGAGCCCGAGCGTCACCTGCTGGCAGACATCGATCGCGGCCGCCAGCTGCTGGACCGAGCCGCGGACGAGCTGGCTGTTGCTCAGCGCAATGCGAACCGGTGTCGGGTTGCGCGCTAGCTTGAGCGACGCCGCGATCTGTCTTGCACCGTCGGCG